CTCTCTTTTTTTTTTTTTTTTTTTTTTTTTTTTGAGACGGAGTCTCATTTTGTCGCCCAGGCTGGAGTGCAGTGGCGCAATCTCGGCTCACTGCAAGCTCCACCTCCCGGGTTTACGCCATTCTCCTGCCTCTGCCTCCGAGTAGCTGGGACTACAGGTGCCCACCACCACGCCCGGCTAATTTTTTGTATTTTTTTTAGTAGAGACAGGGTTTCACCGTGTTAGCCAGGATGGTCTCGATCTCCTGACCTTGTGATCCACCCGCCTCAGCCTCCCAAAGTGCTGGGATTACAGGCGTGAGCCACCGCGCCCGGCCAATCCTCTTGATCTCTAATAAAACTTTTTGTCATAAAGTGTACTTCATGGCTGGGTGCGGTGGCTCACGCCTGTAATCCCAGCACTCAGGGAGGCCGAGGTGGGTGGATCATGAGATCAAGAGTTCAAGACCAGCCTGGCCAAAATGGTGAAACCCCGTCTCTACTAAAAATACAAAAATTAACCAGGCGTGGTGGCAGGCGCCTGTAATCCCAGCTACTCGGCAGGCTGAGGCAGATAATTGCTTGAACCCGGGAGGCAGAGGTTGCAGTGAGCCGAGATCATGCCTGGGCAACAGAGAGTCCATCTCAAAAAAATAATAATAATAAATAAAAATAAAATAAAGTGTGCTTCATATGATAGTCATTTGGTTGGAATTTGACCAATGTGTCTTTCATCATTTTGCTTCCAGCCTGTTTCAGATGTGGTTCTTGGGCATATAGTTGGATTTTATTTTGTAGTCTGTCTGGAAAGTTTTTTTGTCTTTTAACAAGATAACTTGGTATTTTGCATTTAATAAAATCAGCAACATACGTGGATTCATAACCAACCTTTTGTGTTTTTTCTTATCTATCTCTTCTGAGTTTTTTTCTCCTTTATTCTGTTCCTTTAGTTTAATATTTTTTCTTCGTTTTTTCCTGCTTATAAGTTTGAAAGTTATAACCCGGCTTCTAAGAGATTTGCCTAAAAATTACAATAATGGCAGGAAAAACACTGTATTTGCTTTACTGTTTTAAATCGGGAAGTGTTATGTAATTATATCCCCTATGTCTCTACTTATGTAATCTTTCTCCTTTCTAAAGTTATGTCTGTGTCTCCTTTTTTTCTCCTTCATATTTAGTTTATTTGCCTTTTTTTTTTTTTTTTTTTTGAGACAGTATCTTGCTTTGTTGCCCAGGCTGGAGTGCAGTGGCACAATCTTGGCTCACTGCAACCTCCACCTTCCTAGTTCAAGCAATTCTCCTGCCTCAGCCTCCTGAGTAGCTGGGATTACAGGCACCCACCACCACACCCGGCTAATTTTTTTGTATTTTTAGTAGAGATGGAGTTTCACCATGTTGGTCAGACTGGTCATGAACTCCTGACCTCAGGCAATCCGCCCATCTCGGCCTCTCAAAGTGCTGGGATTACAAGTGTGAGCCACCACGCCCGGCCTTATTTGCCTTTTTTAAGCATCAAATTTTACTTTTATTGACCATATGTACATTTTTTCTAGTTCATTATTTCTGCTTATAATTTTGTAAGTTCTTTTCTTCTACTTTAGGGGATTTATCTTATTTTGTTTCAAGTTTCCTGAGTTGAAACAGCATATTTCAAGTCAGCCTTTCTTGCTTTTAATAAAAGTGTTTATCTTTGAGACCAGCCTGACAAAAATGGTAAAAATCCCGTCTCTACTAAAAATATAAAAACTTAGTTGGGCGTGGTGGCAGGTGCCTGTAATTCCAGCTACTTGGGAGGCTGAGGCAGAAGAATCCCTTCAACTGGAAGGGCGGACATTGCAGTGAGACGAGGTCGTGCCATTGCACTCCAGCCTGGGCAACAAGAGCAAAACTTCATCTCAAAAAAATAAAAAATAAAAATGAAAATTAATAAAAAATAAAAGTGCTTATCTCTACCTACATTTTCTCCCGATAACTACTTTGACCACCTCACGGTTTCAGCATATACAGTACTCTTGTAGTTCATTTCTAAATCGCTTGACTTTTTCATTTTGATTTTCTCTTAAAAACTCAGAATTACTTAGGAAGTAATACAAAAAAAGACGGTGAGAAAATTATATGTTGATAGATCTCTTCTTGGCTGTACTTTCATGTTCGTTTCTAACCTTATTTTACTGTGGTCAGAGCATTGTTCCTTTTAGGAATCACTTGAGGTCTTGTTTATGGGTGAATACTTCGGCAATTTTTGTTCACAATTCCATGTCTGTGAACGCTGCTTCTGTTTGCTGCAATGAATGCAAAGGACACCAGTGAGTTTCATTCAAAGTTGTTGAGGCACTCAACAAATTCGGGTGGTTCTGCCAGGCATGGTGGCTCATGCCTGTAATCCCAGCAGTTTGGGAAGCTGAGGCGGGCAGATCACCTGAGGTCAGGAGTTCGAGACTAGCCTGGCCAAATGGTGAAACCCCATCTCTACTAAAAATACAAAAATTAGCTGGGTGTGGTGGTGCACTCCTGTGATCTCAACTACTTGGAAGGCTGAGGCAGGAGAATCACTTGAACCCGGGGGGCGGAGGTTACAGTGAGCTGAGATCGTGTCATTGCACTCCAGCCTGGGCAACAGAGCACGACTATTTCACCAAAAAAAAAAAAAAAAAAAAAAAAAATTCGGGTGGTTCTGTTCCTGGGGGTATTGCTCCAAGTAGGATGGTCTCCAGTAAGATGGCTTGTTTACAGCTGGGACACAGAGAACAGAATAATTTGCCCAAACTCACATATCTCTAAATAATAAAGTCTGGCCATTCTGGCCCAAAGCCCACACAGTTATCATGATGCTACAAGGCCCGCCAAGCCTTCCTAATGCCAACCAGCCCACTCCTGCTTCCGAACCCCCAATAACCAGATAACTCATAGAACGTTTAGGTATATTTCTTTTTACTCTAAAAAAAAAAAAAAAAGTTGACAATGATAACGTGGAAACTGCAGAAAGCGCCACGGATTTCAAGCCCCCCACCTTCCGAACATCACCCTATCCTTCCCCTTCCCTTAAAATCCTACATGAAAATCCCCGAGAAAGCAGAAGAGGCCCCCAGATGGGCGGATTCCCAACCCCGGACCCCTGCGGCAGGTCGAGGCATTGAAGAAATAAATTACAGGAGAGGTGGCTCCTGACTGGCCTTGTCCAGCTCTGTCTCGCAGACCCAGCGGTAGGGCCTCTGGCAGACGTCGTCGTTCCAGCGGCCGTCGTCGGTGAAGTGGGCACAGTCCTCCCCTCCCCCGAGCCCGTGGCCGTACCAGTCGTCCGGCTGCTCCGGTCTCCAGTTCCTGGGGACAGAGCCAGCTGTGGGCCCCAGGAGGTCGCACCCGCGGCCAGGTCGCTCCAGACCCCTCTGCCCAGGGCCCCAGGCGGGAAGGCGGCCGGACCCAGGCCGAGGGAGGGCGCGCACTCACTTGAAGCCCGTCTCGTAGTCCGTCCCGTCCACCCACTTCCAGGGCCCATTTTGGTCGTGGAGGCCCATCCAGGTGTTCACGGGACCTATGTGGTGCTGGACAAATTTCTGAGGAGAGAGGAGGCGGGTGGTGATCTCTCCCCGAGGCCAGCCAGCCTCCCAGACCCTCCGGGTCCTCACCTGCTCCTCCCAGGACGTGACCACCACCAGGTGCGCGTCCTCCAGCCGGCAGTAGTTGTCGGCGTCGGCCCAGGCCTTCCCGGAGCGAGAGAACCAGTAGCAGCTGCGCTCGTGCTCCACCCAGTTGACTGGGCAGCAGGCCCTTTCTGAGCCTGAGCGGGAGAAACCGGGCGCAGGGGCTAAGGCGCTGCCTGGGAGCGCGCGGGAGGCAGAGAGCGGGCCGGGCTGGCCTCCTCACCATTGCCCTGGAGCGCCGCCATCTGACAGCTCAGGCTCCGCAGGTCAGACACGAACTGCTTCACGTGCAGCAGCAGGCTGGAGTGATCTGGGAAGACGCGGCGGAGAGGAGCCAGAGGAGATGTGGGACCCGCGGGGAGGGAAACGAGGTCAGCCCCACATCCTCCTGCTGGGACCCGAACACCCATCGCAGTGCCACAAACAGCAGCGGAGTTGGCCTGAGAGACCTCCATACACACACACTCACACAGACACACAACACACCCTTACACACACTCACACAGACACACAACTCACCCTTACACACACTCACACACACAACTCACCCTTACACACACTCACACAGACACACAACTCACCCTTACACACACACACACAACACATCCTAACCCCCATACACACACACACACACACACAACACATCCTAACCCCCATACACACAGACAATACACAAAACACACAACACACCCTAACCCACATACACAAAACACACATACACACAACACACCCTCACACACACACAAACATGCCCTAACCCACATACACACACAGACAACACACGAAACACAAAACACAACACATACAACACACCCTAACCCGCAGACACACACAAAACACAACACACAAAACACAACACACAACACACACAGACACACAACACACCCTAACCCACAAACATCCACAAAACAAACACAACACACCCACACACAACACACCCTAACCCACATAGACAACACACAAAACACATGACACACGCAGACACAACACACCCTAACCCACATACACAGAACACACTCAAACACAGACACATAACACACCCTCACACACATACACAGCCACACAACACACCCTAACCCACATACGCACTCACACAACACACACGTACACAACACACACAACACGCCCTCACACACACACCGTAACCCACATACACACAGACAACACACAAAACAACACACGCATAACACACCCTAACCCACATACACACAACACACAAAAAACACACCCTCACAGAGACACACCCTAACCCACATACACACCACACACCCTTACACACCCACTCACACACAAAACACCCACAACACACACCCTCACACACACAGAACACACCCTAACCTACATACCCTCAACACACACCTTCACCCACACTCTCACACACGCATACAACACACACACCCACACACACACACTCACCCAAACACACAAAACAACACACCCTCACACAGGCACACACACCCTCACTACCATACACACATTCACACAACACACACACAACACACCCTCACCCACTACACACACCACACACACACCCTCAGCCACATACACAACACACATATACTCTTTCACACAAGCACACACAACTCACATTTACACACAACACGCACATACACATAACATGCACATTCACACACATATACTTACACTCACGTACACTTACACATATACTTAGTCACACACACGCAACACACTAACACACACACGTTCTCACACACATACACACACTGATACACACTCACATAAACACACAGACTCACTCGCACACACCCATCC